TATGAGGTGGTTCCTCGGATATTTTCCTAACTTTTTAAAATAATTGTTATTTATATTTTTTTTTACTTCAGATATAAATAATATTAAATTTTCCGAAATTTGTGAAATAACTTTTCCTCGTATTAAATCAGTATACAAATTCACGCATTTAACGCATTCGAATCAGTAACTTGGATGTAATTCACTGGTCACACGCCCCAATTTATCGATATTATTTGGCCATACAAACAACAAATTCACGAAATTCTAAACAACTACGTTATATCCGCAGTTGGCTATTAAAAGCCGTTATTGTTTTTGTAATGTTAATTTACATCTTAACATTCAGCACCCTCCTCCATCAGTACTTTGCACCTTTTCTCTTCGTGTTTGAATTGTAAAACATTGGTAAATAGTTGAACAAAAAACAAAAGTCTATTTGTATGTTTTGTGCCAGTGTGAGCACCTACAGAGCATCTATATACTTAGTGAATTGAGAGTGGCGGCGTAGTGCCAATTCGCGTGGCACAAATTATCTGTTGAATTGTTGCCTCAAAAACAAAAAAAAAAAAGCAGTAAACAAACCGAATAGACGAAGTTTATTGGCTGCCGGTTCGAAGATGGGCTGATTTAAACAAGCCATGACTAAGCGTCAACTGACTAGCAAACTGTCAGAAGCGAATACACAATTAGAATTTCTCAGCCTCCAATCTAGTTTTATTTACTTAGACTGCTTTGCTCGTTGCCGGGACGTTCGCAGTCATTTGAAGCAAAAGCATTCGCTTTATTTGACAGCGAAATGCCATTTTAGTTGACATCGGAGTCAAAGATAATTGCAATTATTTTTATTAAATTTTTTGGTTAGCATGTTTTCAAAAGCACTAATTGAGTTGTTAATTCGTCAACTGGAATAATTGAGCAAATGCTGTCAGATTCATGTACTCGTATACGCAGGCGGTTTGATAAGTGGAAAAGTTAGAAAAATTTCAATTCTTATACTGCAAATAACTATGGTCTTTAATTAAGAAAGAACAATTGCTTACATTATTAGTGTATTCTTAACAATCTGAACAAAATATGTAGCCCTTATTTTTTCAAACGTATTGTTTAAGGAGAGGGTTCCTGTTTTGCTGCATAAATTTAAGGAGGAAACCTCATTATTGGGTTTTTTCACTAACCAGTAAACTTCATATGATCATCACTTTAAGAAGCGTTGTTCAACAGTAATTCTAACACTGCTTGTTTTTGCACTGATTTATTATTATTTTCATATATAACGCCATTCGATACCTTTCTATAGTTTCAGAAGTTGCTAATTTAAGGGTCTTGTATAAGAGATTGTTAACCCGTTATTAATTATACTTGTGTTAAAAGCAGCAAGGGAAGAGTCTAACGTCAGGAACCGGAGTTCTTTGAGGAGAAGAAAAGCGTGAGACCGGCTCCACAAGTTCTTACCAAACGTCATGTGTTTTTTTTTTCAGATGAACTTTTACAGAGCTCAGGTTTTGTATATTAAGTATGCCACGAAATTTTTACATCTTAAAAGTAAACGGGGAGCCAACAGCGGGAGTGAGCGTCGCTGCATTTTATTTCTTGACATGCGACTTTTTTCTAATACTTACATTTTCAAACTCGTTAAATCGTTCGTTCGAATAATTCAAAAAGTTGTATAAATGTATTGAATCAGTATTGAATACTAAGTAATTTATTTTGATAATGATTAATACTAATGTACAAATAAAGAGCTTTTACAGAGGCGTCATTTTAATTATTTTTTTTTATAAATAAAAGAACACTTATTGTGACGTAACTATAACAGTTAGTTTAATCAATACTATTCGCAGCGCACGCGATGTAAGGATTTTTTTTTGGTAATTTTTTACACCTTGGGTTACGTTGTTGGCGTTTTAATAAGGATTTCTAAATTTTTTAAAGTAATAATATGATATAGCTTATGTTCACCGGAGACAGTGTAGCTTCCCAACGTTGAAAGAATTTTTCAAATCCGTCAAGTAGTTTCAGAAGCTATGCAATTCAAATAAACAAACGATCAAAACTTTCCTCTTTATAATATTAGTATTTAGGTGACCATATTTTTCCCGCCAAAATCCGGTACGGTTTTTGTAGTCATCGATTTTTTACATATTATAATTCACTGAAAATCGTGACATATAACAGGTGAGAGAGCAACACAATTTTCTTCAATTCATTCTTTTTTGTTTAATTTACCCCAGGACGGCCGGGACGCTTAACTCGTAATCCGGACTGTACCGGCCAAACCGGTATGAATGGTCAGCTAAGTATAGATATAAAAATTTATAAATATTTAGCATGTGGAGCTAAATATCTGTATATACGCAAACTAGTCCTGCTGTTTTTGAGATATCGATCTGAAATTTTGCACACGACTCTTTTACGCCAAGACTCATTTTTCGGAACTGCCGATTTAGCTGTCATACAAACTGAGCGCTCAAAAATAAGTTCTTGTATGGAAAACTTTTTTTATTTCACGCGATATCATCATGAAATTTTGATTATTATCCAACGCGTCGCTACATTCTCCGAACAAATTGTTAATGCGGACCGTTATAACATAAGTTAATGGTAGCTACTTGTATTCAAACTGGCTGATTGAAGTCACAGTAAAGATCTTTTTATACCCTTTTGTGCTATACAAATTGCATCTGTGAAGGGTATTACATCCGAGCATCCGAAGTTGACTTTGCTTCATGATGCTGTACGCAACTCTGGATTCCTGTCTAGTAAGTTTCTATAGCCGGTAACCGACATACATAAGTATAGCGCAGGTTCGTTTAATATTCAGTAGCGGTCTATAGGCAGCTACTGGAGTTGGAGAAAACCTTCCCACTCCGTTATATTTCTGTTTGAAGATGAGTTATTTATGTTTGGATATCCCTTTTGCTAACTTGTTGAGAAATTCACTAATTAAAAACTGGTTCAGTGCTAGTGTATCGAGTATCATTACTAGTTCCAGATCATGGCTTTTTTCTATATCAGTAATTAACAAATGTAACATTGTGATGTCTTCGGAAGTGTTAACTATTGTTCATATAAATCCGAACTAGTCAATAAATCCTAATTGTAAGTAGTCATTCAGTCGACTATAACGATTACGGTTATTACATAATTATATTATTTAATATAAACGAGTATAGAGCACACTAGCTCAAATGGCTGTCGCTTTCTAAATAGCTGATAGGCTAAGCGTACGCTCATATTTATGAGGTCATGGTTAAAATTGACTAGTTTTTACTTTTTAGTCTATGATTATCCTTTTGTTGAATTCTTGTAGTTAACCTTTTCGGTTGGTTTATTAACAGATGGTTAAGGATCACATTTAGCCTCGGATTAAATAGACTCGACGACCGATGTCGCAGCTTAATTTTAAGCTTTCTTGTTGGTCTTTCAGTTAAGCTTGCAATTATAACTTGTCGAAATAAACACAAAACAAGTACATATATTATATATGTATATTGTCATGCGCATGTGTGTGTGTGTTAGTATATATGCATATACATATGAGTATATGAAAGTACTTAAGTGTTTCTTATTATTTGCAACTTCCACCAAATTACACACATTCTTTTGGTATAAAAGCGTGTGCAGAATAAAAAATATGCAAACTATGCGCAATACCAACAACAAATACAAAGCAACGTTGTTGCATTTATTTATAAGAAAATACAGGCAGTGCAATGCATAGCGGCGACGAAATGTGGCTGAAAAGCACTTAAGCTGACTGTGAGCGCGCAGCAGCGCACTTATGAAGTATAAACAGCAAACAGATTACGACAAAAAACGAACACACTCACACTTATATAGATATATATATATATACATAGGTATGCAGATAATGCAATGCCGAAAGAATGTAGAGAAATTGCAACAAAGAGCAAAGAGTTGGGAAAATTTTAATGGAAAAAAAGAAAAGCGCAAAATTCAAATGATGAAGGGGGAGGGAGGGGTAAAGAGTGGGGGATGGTGAGAGTTATTAAGTGCAAGTATGTAGATATTTGTGCTTATATCTGTGTGTATGTATATTATATATACATATATAGTATATGTTATCAGTGCGTAGGTTTGAGTGGGTGGTGGCGAAAAATAATTACTCACATACATATAAACATACATATATCAGTAGATATATAACGCCTCCCATTATATATTTATATTTATATATGTATGTATATATACAAGTATATTTACAAATATTTATATCAGCTTTACAGTTCGCCTTGTGCCATTAACATTCGCAGCGGTGGCAGAAAACCCAGCGCTTGTCGTGAAGACCGCCGCTGTCTGAGCCACAACATTGCGGTGGGTCATGGCTAGCCCAAGTTGGTTGGTTGAAATGAGGGTCGGCACATAAATTTTTTCCGTGTTACTTTCGCATATGCTTGCATGTGGGCGTATGTGTGTGTGTGTGTGAGAAATTCTTACTGGCATTGTTTAGACCAAGCGCTAGCGAGTAGCTATGCAGCATATAAGTAATATTGGAGCTGAGAAGGGTCTTGGCCGCCACAATGGTGAGGTAAATAACTAAAGAACGGTGAAATAGTGGCAGAATGCCGCAGTGTGGGATCGCTGGCTTAGCTGTTGGCTTGTGGAAGGCACATATTCATTGGTTGTGAGCACGGCAAATGTAATTAATTGATGTTGACGGCGTTGCAGCAGCGACAGGGTTGCGCATTCTAAATGATAATGGGATAATGCTAATGATGATAATACGTTTTATAATACCATGGTGTATTATTTAGCCGAAGATGTGGCAAAGAACGGGCAGAAAGTGGCAGCAGTGAAACAGCTACGCAGACAAACAACTGAACTGTCAACTCGCGCGGTGTTGTAAGTATGAGTTGAATAAGGAAAATCTGTGGCGGTGACATGGCAAATAAACAAACACAAATCTACCTGTGTGTATATGACAGATAAACGAAACAAAGAAAGCGAATAAGAAGAGGCAGAGGAAAGGTATTTAATTGGAAAAAAATATATGGTGAATGAAAGAACGCGAAATAGCCCGGAGAGAAAAGCATAAATATTGAGATAAGAAGCAAGAAAACACAAAGTCAACAAGCGCAACAGGTAGACCACTATGCACACATGCACCTACACACAATCACATAAAACAACAACACATACAAGTGCGAAGAAATGAGCTGTGGCGGCTGACGCGGCCCTTCGTGCGCTGCGGAGCGCCAAGCGAGTTACTTGCCAACCTGTTGAGCGCAACGCTCGCAGCAAAAGTCTACAAACTCTCCACACATACTTATTGGCTATAACTCGTTTGCTGCGGCAACTTAGCGCTGAGAAATCACAACGTTAGCCGCTAAGATCAGTTAATAAACGGGGTTCAAAGCGAACGTATCGACTTTTAGTGGAGTTACGGTAATATTACCGAGGCGCGGTGTGGTGTGCATAGGAAGGGTGTGCGCTTAGGCCAATAATATATTGGGCAAATAGTGGAGAAAGAAGCCTAAGTGGCAGTAATAAAAGTAAAAATAAGCAAAAGAAAAAAAAATAGAAAAGAAATATAATATAAATAAGAAATAAAAATAGTAAGAAATTCAAAGTAGAGCGAAACATGCAAAGTGCAGTTTCAAAGAAAGCTAGAAGTGTCAGCAATTTAATAAAGATCTGCTAAGCGCGACGCTGGTATATAAAAATACAAATGCAATTTTATTTATGCGGTGCGAGCAAATATTAAAAATAATTTTTGAAACACAAATATTTTACGATTATAGAAAAATATGTACATATACATATACATATAACGAACAAACAAGCTTAGTGGCAAACGACGACGAAAAATGTAAAAATAAAACAAACCACAAAGAAGAAAAGCGCACAAAAATTCTAGTAACTTGCGCAACGAATAAATATTTATAAAGTTACTTAGCGAAAGTGGCAAAAAGTAGTGCAAAAATCGTGAAGAAATAAACAAATACAACAGTAGCGCAAAAAGCTGTTAAGACAAACGTTAAATATAATTTGTGAATACAGGCAGATAAATAAAGGAATCTCATAAATCAGCGCATAAAGAACGACAAAGCGACAAAGCTAAGTGATAACGAGACGAAAAGCAATAGAACGAGTCGAAAATACGCAAATACACACATATACATTCAGAGCGAGGAATAGCAAGGAGTGAAAATTAGTGTGAAAAGTGGTAAGATAAATAAAGGCTTAGTGCTTTTTCAAACTAAAAGAATTAAGAACTGCAATTAAAAAATATATATTTACAATTTTCTGCGGATTCTTAATAAAACTGAATGTTAAACAAAACAAAAGAAAAACTCGAAAATTCGTTGAAGAAGGCCAGCCTAAAAGCTTATGAGAAGTCTTAGCTTTATTTGATATTCTTAAAAAATATAGAAAATTTAAAAAAAAGGTGAAATGTGAAGATATGCGAGTTTAAGAGGTTACGTCAGTCTAGAACGTTGATAGAAGGCCTCATTTTAGTAGTTTAGCCCGGATTTAAGGAAAAAGCTATATTCTCTCTTTCATACTTTATTAAATATGTATTTGAGTGTAAAAAAGATTTTTTTTAAATTATACCCTTAACAGGGTACATTAAGTTTGCAATACCCAGAAGGAAACTTCGGATACCCTATAAAGTATATAATATATAAATCATCAGCTTGTCGATTTAGCCAAGTTCGTCTATTTGTATGTTTTTTTTTTTCTCCCCAAGAAGTTTCTTATTTGTCGTAACCGTCGATATCGCAACACTATAGCATATAGCTGCCATACAAACTGATCGATCAAAATCACATCCTTGTATGGAAAACTTTTTTCTTTAACGAGATATCTTCACGAAATTTTGCATAGATTATTGTACAAGGCTTATGCTAACTAAAGCTCGGAAAAATAGGGTCTTAATTTATAATTTACTAAACAACTTTTCGCGAAGCTTCAGTGAAAAGGTCAAGTTCAAAAATGCAGTTTCACATTTTTTCAACAAATTCAATACTTCTTTAAGGCCCTAAAGCATACTTTAAGCCATGAAAAAAAGGAATATTCGAAAATCCCAAACTGGCTCTTAACGCAATGTTATTTTAAATATTGAATACACACAATTTAATAAAGCCTGCAGAGAAAAACATTCCTTTTTTCTTACTCCCAGAATAAATTGCCAAAATAAGGGTTTCCTAAGCACTAATTCTGCTATTTGCAAGCTTAAACGTATGCAAATACTTATAATCCGCTTTACTACAAATACTACAAGTAATCCTTATAATAAACCCAAGCGAACAGTTCGAAAAGGCATCTCCAGTTAAGCACATTTGAATTGCAGCGAAAACTAAAAATAAATGCATGGAATGAGCGCTACAATACACATAACCGGATCTTAAGTAAATGAAACAGAGCAACAACACCAACGCAGCAATAAAACGACTTCATACACAACTGCACACATACAGATAAATCTGTGTTTGTGAAATTCCTGCACGAAATAAGAGCTCTACGCTTACGCACATAGCTATGTGTTGCATGTACTATACATACATATAAACGCTTGCATACATATATACATACATACACACAATATACTTGCGCTCACACGCGAGTCCTATTTGCCTATAAGCAACTGCTAGATACACAATTCGAAATCGAAGCGATGCGACAAACAAAAATACTATCTTATAAACATAAAATCCAACTAGAATAACAATACAACAACAACGCGTGCCGTACAACAATGGCAACGTCATCCGGACACACACTCACTGACGTCAAGGCAATCAAATAAACGACGACAAACTGACCAGCCAATTGTTAAGTCAATCATCGGATATTACAAACGACAGGACGTGCGTGTGTGTGTGTGTGTGGGTGCGAACGTATTGATGTGTTTGCGTGTATTCTTAGCAAGTGTATATCGAGTTGACGTTTGAGCGGTGTTGGAAGGCTTTGCACTATTTTTAAATAGTAATTGTTGTTTTTGTTCTTAAATTGCCATTAAATATTTATGGACGTATAATTATCTAACCCCTTCTGCGCAATCAATGCCCTACTTTTGCATGAAATCAATAACTATTTTAAGTACTTAGCACTTGGTTAAGCGCATGGATCGCAATTCCTGACAAGTATACTTTAATTTTGCTAAATAAGTGCGTCAACTAATATATTGAGTTGTTAAGGAAAACGTCAATCAGAACAATGGAATTCATTATATTAGGGATATGAGGTTTAGACAAAGGTCTAAACCAATCCTATTCTATTTTAGCGCTAAGCCACATCATTTTTAAGAAAACTTGTCCATATAATTTCATTAAAATATTACATTTTTACCAACCTGAACGGCTTAAAGTCAGGTGGAAAAATGGAAATCATATTGAGACACACAAGTAACCATGAATTAAAGCTTACAAGTTGACTTAATTTCTCTCGGTTTGTGGTATGTGTCTTGACTTTCATAAGCTTCAATTCAATTCTGAAGAGTTTATGAACTTTATGGAAATCTTTTTGATTTAAGGGATTATATCCAGTTGCAAGTCATCTTTTTTAAGGTAATTAATGAATGATCGAATTATTAGTCAAATTTTAGATTTTAGAAAAATGGCTTCCAATGTCGTGTTTTTTGTGAAAAAATTCATACCTTAGAGTGGTTTAAAAAATCAAAATTGTTATTAAAAATCTTATTCCTTCTATAATAACCTGACAAATATAAATATTTACACAGGAAAGTTAAAGTCGATCAGTTGTTATTCCTGAGGAATTGTCCTCTTCGACTCTGAGAACAGCGTTTCAGCGTTACAAGAAAAACGTGTTTACAGTTTTGGAAGCCGATTACAATCAGTTAAAAAATTCTTACAAATAGGCACATATCTCCAAAAATATTTGTCGGATCAACTTGAATATACAAAGTATTTTTTAAAATATTTTATTCAATATAATCTAACATTACTTAAATACACTTATTTCAATGATCCTCCAATAATTTTATGCTATCTCTATAATGACATTCCGAAAGCTCTGCAAAATACCCGTTTAAAGCTGGAATAGCTTCTTCATTCGACGCAAAACGCTTTCCACGAAGGAATTGTTTCAGGTTTCTGAAGAGGTTGTAGTCGTTGGGAGTCAAATCTGGTGAATACGGTGAATGCTCAAACAATTCGTATTTTAATTCGTTTATTTTCGTCATTGTTAACACACCTTTGTGAGCAGGTGCGTTGTCTTGATAAAAAATTTTTTTTTGCTGCAAATTAGGTCTTTTCTCACAAATATTTTTTTTCCAGCTGATCCAATGCAATAATATTTAGAGTTAATTGTTTTACTTTTCTGCAGATAATCAATCAACGAAATTCCTTTTGCATTCTAAAAAACTGATGCCATAACCTTTTTCGTTAATCGGCGTGACTTCACCTGCTTTGGAGCTGAACAACCAGCTTCAGTCCACTGTAAACGTTCTTGTTTCAATTTAGGATCATCACGGTGGTAGATCCAAGTTTCGTCCATAGTTATAAAACGACGCCAGAAATCGGTTTTATTTTGCTTTAAACGCTCCAAATTATGGTGTTATGTTTTTCATCCAGTTTTCGTTGAATTGTTAACGTGTGCAGCACTGACTTTTCAAATAGCTATTTCATATATTATTCTCCATGTAAAATATGAAGTACTCGTTCGTCTGAAGTGCCTATGGCATTAGCTATTTCACGCTTAGTCAAACTTGGATCTTCACTAACAATATTATGGACTTGCTCAATAATTTCTGGTGTGGTTGCGGTTTCGGTCGACCTTCGTGTGGATCGTTTTCAATACTAGTACGACCACGTTTAAGTTCACCAGTCCAAAATTCAACGGTGCGTTGTGAAGGTGAAGGCACCTCATATACTTTTAACAATTGTGCATAAATTTACTTTGCTTTTAAACCCTTCTAATCTAAACACTGCGCGATATTTAATTTTTTCCATATTAGAAAATTGACACGTCAACTTCAAATGGCTTGTATCAACTTCAATTCTTGTTAACAGAATGACTTGTAACTTTTCATGTGTTCTAACGACAGATGTACCAACTTGAGAAAACAATTTTTAGCTAGTAGTGCTATTTCTTGGTGAGAGCGGAAACTTTTTAACCAATTTTAATAAACAAAAAAAAAATATAGGTATATATATTTAGGAAGTTCACTATTGAATAAGACTCCTTATGTTCCCTTCTCATATTGATTGCTTGAAATAAGATATTATTGTTATAAATAATGTATCCGCTATTCCTAATCCTTCATAGGTACATTTCACTATTTTTTTCTGACTACATGACGCCACAAGTGATGCCTATAGTACTTTTTCACATGAACAAGTCCAAAGTTAGTAATTTATGTGTATACGAACATCATATATTTCAGTTATTTTTTTAGTCAGTTATATTTAGAAACTGTTTGAACCGATATTGTATCATAACGGTAAATACTCTATGTAATGCTCCTTTGTTACTTTTCTGCAGAACTATTCAAAACTAAAATAAATATGAATAAGTTGAGATTCTCAAAAGCAACAATATTGCATAGTTGAAGGGGCAGCAACCACATCACTTCTCAACTCTGTAACTCTGTTACAGGTGACATTCGGTGCTAATTTGTTAAATATACATGAAAATTCTCAAGTTCTTTATATAAGAAGCCAAACAACAAAAACGAAGACTTAACAACAACAACAACAACTATAACTAACAAAGCTGCCAAAACATTTTAATATCGTTTGATAAGTACAAGCGAAAGCACTTAAGTAAAAAATTAGCAAGAACTTTCGCAAAATCATTTCTGCCATGGAAGTTTAACGGAATGAGCATCAACAAACAACAACAATAAGCATGCAATCTAGAGTCAACAAGTCAAAAAGGATTATACTTACTGAGTTGAGTACATAAGACACGATATAACGGTATATGCGATTATATTTGCATGAGAGCAGCGAGTGGTTCACATGGAGATTTTTGTCGATTATAGTAAAAAAACTTAGATACAAGTACAAAAAATCGGTTATGTTGTGAGTGTGTGTGCCTATTTGATATGGGCGCCATGAGTGGATGCTGTCATTAATTCACCTTTAATTCGTTGCTGTTGTTGCAGGTAATTAAGGCCTGGGCTTTTGTTTTCCAATTGCTGTTTCGTATCGCATTTCACACTAGTGCGTTTTTTTATCCGCACATTGCAGACGACGTTGG